GAAGAAGAAGTAACCTCCGATACACGCCTATAAAAAAAGAGAAGAAGAAGTAACCTCCGATACACTTAAATCACCTCTTCTTCTTCTTCTTCTTCTTCTTCTTCTTCTTCTGTGGTGCTTTAATTATTATACAGTAAATAAACTAATATTCACACATCAAGAGTTTTATGTATCTCTCTGTTCATTGTGTTCATAGTGGATCAGGTCTCAGTGACGCCCCCCATAGGAAGTGGCCTTGAGTTACCTGACAGTAGTTGTGTCCACACGGAGTAGAGACCGGTTCATCGAACAGGTCCAGACAGATGGAACAGGTGAGTTCCTGCTCTGAGAACAGATCTGGAGCCTCCGCCATCATCCTGCTGGAAGTGTTAGCTTCCCGTTAGCTTCCCGTTAGCTTCCCGTTGTAATGAAACAGAGACACAAACACCAGAGTTCATTTCTTTGACTAAACACAGGAAGCAAACAGGATGAAACAGGAAGTGAGACGACAGGTCAAACAACATTCCTCCTCAACGGGGAAAATAACAGCTGAGTCACTGACACACACCTGGAAGGACAGACATGTGTAGAGACAGACAGACAGACATGTGTAGAGACAGACAGACAGACACGTGCAAAGACAGACAGACACGTGCAGAGACAGACAGACACGTGTAGAGACAGACAGACACGTGTAGAGACAGACAGACAGTTGTAAAGAGAGACAGGTGTAAAGAGAGACAGGAACAGAGTGAGACAGACAGACAGACGGGATGGGGTGGTTAGCATGTAGCATGTAGCATTGTTCTGCCTGTTTAAACCTCAGTCACATTATTGAACACAGAATGTAAACAGGAAGAAGAACAGAGACACGTGATGGTGACGGGACCAGAATATTTGTAACACTCAACATCAACTCAACGTTGTCTCAACGTTTGAGGCTTAAAGTATGGACCATTCGCACCACTGAGAGGAAGACATGAAGATCCTGCAAGTCATTATAAGGAGACACCATCTCATAATTATGAGAATTATGAGTTAGTGTCTCCTTTGTCTCTGACAGGACTGAGCTTAGCTTAGCTTAACATACAGGTCACTGACCACCGTTTTCAGTCTTCATGCTACGCTAAGCTAATCAAGTACTGAACACACAGACGAGGAGCTGTGAGAGAAAACCTGATGATGATGTAATCATTACTTTCATTATTGATTAACATGAAGATTATTTTCTAGATTCATTGATTAATAAAGTGTATTTAAATGTTTTATTCAGTTCCACATATTCAGCTTTATACAAACAATAATAACAATAATAATTAAAGCTGCGAGCAGCATTGATCGGGCCCTCGCAACTTCACGCACGTCGAGGGTACTAGCAGGACTCTGGCCATGAATTTCTGTGACCATCACACTCTGCGTGCACGCGTGAGATATTTCCTGCGTAGACCAGCAGCGTAGCAAGATCATGTTGCCAGGTCTTAAGCCTCAAATGTTTTGAGTGTACCTCCGATACAATCATAAATGTAAGCCTTTAAAGATCATTAAGAAAATGAATGTGTGTGAATGTGCTTCAGTGTTTGTAACATAACAGACTGTCAGTTTACTGGGATGGGGTTCAACTCCCTGCAGTGTCCTGCTGATTGTATTTGGACTTACATGAAAGTTAACAAAACAGTAGTGCCATTTGCTGTTACTTGAACACTTTAATTTAACACTGTTTTCATTTTAAGTTCTTCTGTAACTTTAGATTGTAGTGAAGCATTCATTGTAACGTTTAACCTGATTGTGATGAAGAAGCTCTGGACAGATCATTTATACTAATGCCCACTGGCATGGTTTGAAAATCCACTGTTATCTAACTTTTGCTCTCCAAGCATCTTAGTTTGCACATATTTAGATCAGAGAAGTCTTTTTCTCATGGTGTGCCCACAAACCCTTTCAATAAGGTCAGTGTTTGGGCCGCTGTAATTATAGAATCCTGCTTACGTCCGTGCTTATCAGTAGGTGGCGCTATGACTATGAGTTAATATTGGCATGCAGAAGTCCTAAAGCCATGACAGTCAACAAGCATGTCAAGTTTGGGACAGTTTTGACAAAGTACAGTCAAGTTACAACAGCTTGATGGATGATGGCGAACCATGTAAAATGGCCGTCACACCATATCCACGTCGTTCGATGAAACGTAAACTTTCAGTAACTTTTAATCGCTAAGGTCTTTAGATTGTTCTGACCAAATTCTAAGCTGATCGGATTAATTCCCTAGGAGGAGTTCGTAGTACAGCACCTGGAAATGGAAGAGAACCATGAGAAATTCAGACAAAATTGCCGACTTCCGGTTGTGTTAAGAGCATGGACCCCTCATGTGATACATCTGCTTACTCAAAACTCCAAGAGGATTTTTTGTGCGTCCCATCACGATCCACATACCTACCAAATTTCATACAGCTAAGTGAAACGCAGTGTTGGGGCTACTCAATAGGGGGCGCTATCCAGCCAATACTTCATACTGCAGCTGGACACCCCAATCACACAGCAATTTTCGCAAATTCTGGCTTGCGTGCCAAATTTTAAAATATTCCCATTATCTCAAGCACCTCCTTTTTGCGACGAAACACGTAAAATAATAATAATAAACATTAGAATAACAATAGGCCTCACTTTTTACCATTTTCATTGAACCGTTAGCTGCAGCCATTCGTCAGAACATCTACATAAAAGGAATTCAAACACTCAACACCATCGAACACATCTTCAATAATAACACCATGGTTTCATTCCCCCACTTGGTTCAGAAGTACGGCATCAGGAGCAATCAATTTTTGGAATATCTGCAACTCAAATCATCCATTCAATCCAAACTTACCACTAAGGCCACTAACCTAGAACTACCCCCCTCAACCTCAGAATTAATTAATATCCCCTC